AGTGGAAAGGAAAGCAGACAACAGAACATTGCTAGAGAGCAGGAAAGGAGGTGGAAGGAGACAATTTTAGAGGAGAAAATTTTTCGGTCGCTACCCGGATTCGAACCCGGGACCTTTGAATGAGAGGCCAACACCTTAACTTCTAGGCCACAAGAGCCCCCCCTCTAGATCTCAGGGGTAACTCGACTGCTTAGTCTTTAGCCTGTAGTACAGTTGCAGACCTATGAGGTTGTTTTTTTCGTTTTTCTTATTTTTAAGTTTCTTACTTTCTTACTTTGTAGGCCCCTTTGCCTTCACGAGGCCACGTTCCGATTTTGAAGTGGCTCTATGCTAGGGCTGGGAAATGAGTCTTTATCTTTAACAAAATCCGGATAATATGTAAGTACAACTCTTCGGCAAATATGATATGAACGGCTTCGGTAAATGGGTTAGAACCACTTCGACAAACGTGTTAGCACTACTTCAACAAATGGGTACACCCAGACTTAAGAGTCGGAATTCGGATAACATTTCATTGAGAATTATCCGGTTATCCTCATAGATTATCCGGATTTTGCCCACCTCTACTCTATGTAAATGAGGCATTCTGACAAAATGAGTTGCTTCTCGCGATCCACGAATGGAAGTGTCGGCCGAAAATAGACTGATCGAATTTGTAGATTTTGAACGGATGCAATTTTTCCCCGTCTTTTATCATTTCATATGGTAAACTGGACAAATACAACTTTAAATTTGCATGTATGTATCTGTGGGTGAAAACCCGAGAAATGACTCACTTGTCCAGCTCGTTTCACATATCATGGTTCTATACTGACCTGATTATTTTCAGTTTTGTTAGGATTTTTCCCGGGTGGCAGCCGAAACATACTCTTATCAAATTTAGGACCACCAACGGATCTTTAACGTGTGCAACCAGCACACGGGGCCGCCTCCGAAATTTTTAGCCTTTATCCGAGAAGGTTAAGTCTTCGACAATACCTGCTCTACATTTAGGGTCTGGCTGACAGACAGCAGTATGAAGGCGCAAGGAGTAGCTGCACTGAAGGAAAGAGTCCGGAATAAAGGAGAAAGGGGCCCGGAGGAGGACAGCGGTGGGATGTTTTTGGTAGGGGGAAGGGGTGGAGATGAATATAGATGACAGACAGGGACCAGAGAGCAGAAAAGGTCTAGGAGGTGAAAAGAGAAAATCTTAGAGAAGACCAATAATTTATTATTATTTTTCGTCGCTGTCAGGTTTCGTTCCCGCGACCTTTTGAATGCGAGTTGAGCACCGTGCCTCTAGACCACGTTAGCCCCTGCTTGGATGTTATAGCCAGCTATTTCTAAACAGCCGAATAGCTAAAGTAAATGAAGTAGACGTCAACTATGAGGTTCTTGCACTTGTTATTGTTTTGCTCTTCCCGCCCCCCCCCCTTATTCCCCCTCTTCCTCCATCTCCTCAT